AACACATTTCCAAACACAAACCTCAATAGGGCTGCTATACCAATTAAGCAAAGCCTTGAGACAGTGTGTAAAAGAAAAAATCATTAGTCCTAGTTAACAAAAGCATGGCTTCCATTGGCTTAAAGCAACACGTTTTAGCTCTACTGCTTCTTCTCTCGATTTGTACTTTCCATGCAATGTCCAACAATCTCCATGATGCATCCATGTCCCAAAGACACGAGCAGTGGATGAAAAAATATGGTAAAGTATATAAAGATGCTGCAGAGAAGCAAAAACGTTTCCTCATATTCAAAGACAACGTTGAATTCATTGAATCCTTCAATGATGTTGGGAAAAAATCTTACAGGCTTGGCATCAATCACGTTGCTGACCTAACCAATGAAGAATTCAAGGCTTCCCACAACGGATACAAGAGCTCTCTTGGGCTGAGAATAACAACACAAACACCATTCAAATATGAAAACGTTACTGATATTCCTATTGCTATGGATTGGAGGCAGAAAGGAGCTGTTACTCGAATCAAGAACCAAGGCAAATGTGGTAAGAAACACAAAGAAAACCATACATTACAAGTGGTACTATTTATTTATATATTTTCTCTTTTGAAACTCACATCACATGACATTTTGGTTACAAAACAGGTAGCTGTTGGGCATTTTCAACAGTTGCTGCAACAGAAGGTATTCACCAAATAACTACGGGTAAGCTAGTGTCCCTATCAGAGCAAGAGTTAGTGGATTGTGATACAGTGGATCATGGATGTGATGGAGGTCTTATGGAAGATGGATTTGAATTCATTATAAAAAATGGTGGAATCACCACTGAGACAAACTACCCCTACACTGGAGTTAATGGAACTTGTGACAAAAACAATGAGGCTTCACCTGCAGCAAAAATTAAGGGGTATGAGATTGTACCTCCTAATAGTGAGGAGGCACTCCTAAAAGCTGTTGCAAACCAACCTGTGTCAGTTTCCATTGATGCTGGAGTTTCTGCTTTCCAATTTTACTCAAGCGGGGTTTTCACAGGACAATGTGGGAATGAAATAGACCATGGTGTTACGGTTGTTGGTTATGGTAGTACTGATGATGGTACTAAGTATTGGATTGTGAAGAATTCGTGGGGCACAAGATGGGGTGAAGAAGGATACATAAGGATGGAACGAGGCATAGATGCCAAAGAAGGTCTATGTGGCATTGCCATGGATGCATCTTATCCAACTGCTGTCTACGTAGAAAACCTTGCAATGATAAATTGCGTTTCATATTTGATTTATTTTGCATTGTTAGTGCATGTACTTGTACGCAATGAAATTTTTCCTTATTTTTAACAAATATAATTTCATAGTTATTTGAGGAATGATTCATTTACTTCTTTTGGAAGTCTTTAACCTTGTAAGCTCTTTTATCTTAGGATCATTTATCTTAGCTTAACAGTTAGTTGGTTGTTAACATAACACGTTAATTGTTAACCTTGCATGCATATTAATTATATTGAAGTTGCAGAGGTTGTGCAACAATATAGTGATACAAAACATGATTCCATTATAGTAGAACCGAATAATGATGCAGTAATTGTACAAAAACAGATTCCACTTCCTTTTCCATCCAAAACAGTTCAACCAAAGAGATTTGAGCTAGATAGTGAGTTGTTGGAGATCTTTAAGAAGGTGTAAGTCAGCATTTTTCTCTTTAATGTCATTCAACATATTTCTAAATATGTAAAGTTACTTACACTACTATAAAAATGGAAATTAGAGACGGAAAAAAATCCTTCACAAAATTAAAGAAAATCCGTCACATAATTATTAGTGACGGAATTTGTGACGGATTTTGGGTCGTCACAAAAAATGGCGTCACAAAATATTTAATGACGGAAAATTTTATTCGTTACTAAATTTTCCGTCACAAACTGTGAGGGATTCAAAAACCGTCACAAATTGTGAGAGATTCAAAATCCGTCACAAAATCCTAATTTTTTATTTTTACAAATTTTTAAATAAAAAAAATTAAATTATTCCAAATTTATGATTTATACAATATATATTATTTTCACTTTTTTTCTAATCTACAAGTATTAATTATTAATTTTCAGATAATTGATAATGGTAAGATTCGAACCCCTTATCTTCTACTCATTCTAACCTTAACACTCCTTCTCCATCCATCTGAGCTACCTTATCAATTTAGTACTTATTTAACAATATATATATAAATATGAAAGAATATCAATTTTTTTCACAATAATATCAAACATCATTAAACATCAAACTAATAAATTTAAAATAGATTCATAATTAAAATCATAATATAATTTATTTTAGAATTTTTATTTTATTAAATTAATTAAAAATTAATTTTATTTTATCACTTTTTAATCAAGTGAATGAATGATAATGAATTAACAAAATTTTTAAAATATATTTTAATTGAAAGTATATTTTTAGTAAATATTTGAATATAAAAGTATTTTTATAAATAATTAAATGAAAAATATATTTTAAAATTTATTTCTCTCATAACACTACTTAAGTAAAAATTTTCATGTAAGTCAGCATTTTTCTCTTTAATGTCATTCAACATATTTCTAAATATGTAAAGTTACTTACACTACTATAAAAATGGAAATTAGAGACGGAAAAAAATCCTTCACAAAATTAAAGAAAATCCGTCACATAATTATTAGTGACGGAATTTGTGACGGATTTTGGGTCGTCACAAAAAATGGCGTCACAAAATATTTAATGACGGAAAATTTTATTCGTTACTAAATTTTCCGTCACAAACTGTGCGTATCATTCGTCTCCTAAATATAAATTATATATAATTAAATTATTTTGTAAAAAAAAAAATCATTCACCACCGAATGGTATAACATGTTTTGATCTACAATTAATTAAGGACATGTTATGATTACTTTCCATAAACACTTTTAAGTGACGAAAAGACAAAATAAATTTTCCTATAATTAAAAATATATACATAAATTAAAATACATATTTTAAAAAATTAACATGAAAGAACTTCAACAAACTAATTTATATATAAATTAATTTTTAAAATTTTTTTCTTACAATTATTTTTTAAATAAGTTTATCTAAATATGTCCCAGTTGATTTACTGGTTCTCATATCATCAAACCAATCAATTAAGCTATATATGCAGCTTGCATGCACTTGACCAACTTCCCCCATAATGACTTGGACATAGAAGAAACTTCTTGAACATGAACTCACAAACACAAGAAATAATGTAATGTCAATTCAAAAGGGTCATTGTATTATTTTGTGATAGACTATTGAAACCAAAAAAGAAATTAATCTCAAGATTCATCTTTTTTAGACCATGAACATCAAAGTTTGTGGCCACATATTCTGTCTTCATAGACCTAAAAGTATAAACTACACCCATGGAGTGTACATATCCGATTAGTTTGTTTTTATTAATTGTCAAAATAAAATAAATAAATCTTGATTTTTTTTATATTTTATATTTTTACATGAACTCCTTCCGTTCCAAAATTACAGTAATTTTAATATTTGAAAAATTTTCAAAATAATTAGTATTCTCAATTTTTTTTATATAATATTAATTATCTTTTTCTAAATTTATTTTTTCATAAAATTTTCGGCCAGACATATTAAAAGAATGTATTTTTAAGAAAATAAAGAAAGTAAATTTATAATTAATAAAATTATATATATATATATATATA